CGACTCTCCGGGCTGTTGGGACCTCTGGTGGAATTTCGCACGCTCGTACACCAGATTGCGTTTCCTGCCATAATGGTCTGCAAATTTCTGGAATACGATGTCGTAGTTGTCCGCATCCTGGTCTGATAAATGGAAACTCAGTAGGAGGTCGTCAGCCTCGTCGCCCATCGAATATAACAAAGAGTTTACTTGCACGGACTGTGCCTGCATATGAAGACCCGAGGCGAGCCTGTATCTCGTAAATCGCTTGCTCCACTTCTCCCACACATCAGCGGACTTGAAGTCGAATGGGGCTGGAGGAGCTACCTGGGTAAGGTGGATCATCGACGGAACCTGGGGTGCCACGGGACCCAGAGATGATACCGTGGGGAGGGATAGCCCAGCCGCGGAGGAAACGACAGAGGGTGCAGCTTGACCAACACTCGAGACAGTGACTGCTCCTGACGAGCCAGCAATACTAGTAGTCGTAGTATTACTTGGACCTGAGGAAACCGTGATGGAGGTAGTTGTGGGAGTGGAAACAGGGTTGTTTGAAACGCCTGTCGCCATCCTGTCAAAGAGGAAATCCCAGCGCTGCCACCATGTAATGTTCTCCCGACGTCCTTAGTATGTGTCGAGAGCACACCAAAATACCAAGTCAACACGGTCTCGTTGTGAGGCAAAGAACCCTTTTCATTCTCAGTGCAAGAACACAAATAGTCGTGAAAGACACATCATACAGCAAGACAGTCGCGGGTACTCCATATCTGGATCTAGTAGAGTACTAGAGGGTACACTACGGTGCATGAGACATCTATAAAGAGAAGAGTACAAATAAGAGAAACGAGCATGCACAATGGGTACACACACACATACAAGATAACACTACACCTTTCCCCCGTGGTGCGTGATGTGCGCCTTGATCCCGAGACCATTGGTCGGGGGAGCGGACTTCACCTCACCGACACAGCTCAATAGCACCTACACGCCCTTTCTAGTCTATGTTCTCTTGATGTTGTTGTTGTTTTTCTCTTCCATTCTATGTAGGCATATGTGCACTTTCATAAAAAAGAAAAAAAGAAGTGAGGGTGAAATAGGCACCGGCGGATTATGCCGGCAGAAAAATTGGCAGAATTCGGTACTTTTTCTGGTAAATGAAAAGGGTCACCTTGTATACTTCCCACTATCCGATAACCTATAAGTAGTTTGTTTCTCCGTATAGCCTCTATTGTGAGACGATTTTCCCTGATGATAATCTCAAGAAAATCGATTAGGAACAACCATTTTAGATACATGTATTCTCATTCATCACTTTGTAATTTCCGCTTCACTTATACTATTTTTCTGGTAAGTTTCATGCATGTTTGGTATGTGGATAAAGAAATGGAGCAGAATTCGAGGAATTGCCCGCCATAAGGCTTGTATGGTTCTGCCAATTTCACTGCTTTTCGAGCAGAATCCGCCCGTCCTAGGGTAAAAGCAACCACGGACTGATGGCAAAATGCAACATGGATGCACATTTCTGCCTGGTGTCAAATACAGATGACGCCCCTGCAATTTTGGGAGCAAGCTTTCCAGATACAAAAGGTGCTGATCATCAGTAGGTCCACGCGGATAATGCTCCGAAAAGGATTGTATAATGCTAACCATAATGCTCCAATGCAGCGAATGGGATTTTCGGTCGTTGACCACTTGCTGGTGAGCTGATCTACTCACCTCCCACCGCACAATAATGTAATAACACAGTTGTGTTATTACATTGATCGTCTCCCCCCCCCCCCCCTCTCTACCCTCTTTTGATAATAATCACCGGTATACTCCCCTTGTTGGCTTATTTGCTATTCATTGTGGTGATTCTTTCCTGATCATAGCCACGAGAAAACGTTTGAAATAACTACATGTTGCTCTGTGTCTGTGAATGCCTGCGTTCACCATGACTTTCCTCATCCTCGGTGAAGCTTCTGTCTCCTCGTCCGACATCACCTCTTAATTTAATGATCGAGTTGTCGGTTATAGCATGAAACTATCTTCAGGTGTCATTGAAGTAGGCTTTGCAATCTTAGTGAGAAAATAATAACGAATCACACCAGAGAAGTGAGGCTGCGGATCCCGGACCAGTAGGAATCACAGTTCTCCATAGCAGATGTCATGATTAGGGTTGTGAGTGGCTTGGTCTCCCCGCTTTTCCTGCATTTTTGTTTCACGCCTAGAAATAACGGAACTGGTTCGAATGTGCAGCGCTATGGGAATGGTGGGTGTGTTCACCCGATTTCCTTATTTCAGAACTGATGTATATAATTGTCGTGTCCGTGTGTTGCTATCTGTATTGTATTCCGTCTGCTCCTACATGTATCTTTGTCAAGTGTTTGCCGTGGCGTCGATGTGTCTCGTCTATGAATAGCGTTGGGAAACATATCACTATTCATGCTTTGCTGGCTGGCTGCTCGCGCCCTTCGCTCCTTCAGCTTGCACGCTACTAGGACATAATAGCAGTATATAGCTCGATGCTTTGCTTCGAGAGGTTGTTGTTGTTGTTCTTGTTGCTTCTCGGTTGCTTGGAACTTGGTCCTAGAGTGAAGCTTTGGTCTTCTTGTGTGGTGAGGGTGAGGAATGGGTATCTGGACTCCTGGTATATTTCCGTAAAGAACCTGGAATTGTAGAATCCTGAGAGTATGTCTGGCCAACTCCCCGGTCATGACATTTGGCGACCACGCCAGGATGTCCAGTGCCACTAACATTCCGAACCCTCGGCAGCGAGAGGGAGCGCTGCCAATAGCCATCGCCACCACACCGCAGCCCGTCCTGGGTACGACGATAAACTGCACCCTGGCGACCGCGGTTGGTCACCATAACCAACGCGCCCGTCCTGGGTACGACGATAAACTGCACCCTGGCGACCGCGGTTGGTCACCATCACCAACGCGCGCGTCCTGGGTACGACGATAAACTGCACCCTGGCGACCGCGGTTGGTCACCATCACCAACGCGCCCGTCCTGGGTACGACGATAAACTGCACCCTGGCGACCGCGGTTGGTCACCATCACCAACGCGCCCGTCCCGGAGCATGACGTTAAACTGTTGGACGTAGCCAGAGCTGGAGAGGAGGTACCGCGAGGAAGTCAAGATGAAGGTAACACGCAAACGGGAGCCGCGGATTTCAAGTGAAGTTAGTTCGGGTCAGTTACCAGTTCCTGGACACGTTTCTGGTCTTGTTACCCGTCTAGTCTTGATTTGTCTTATTAGTTCATAGTGATAGTAAGTATTAGTAACACAGAAGCAACCCCTGTAGGCTGACCAGTCGCTTGTTCGAACGTAGTTGTAACGGCATAACTTATTTTTCTAACACTGGCGTGCTTATGAGTCTGTGCAAGACTGGCGCATTATGTTTTCTTTGGTTCTTGGGTCGGAAGAGGTTGGTTCCTTCCTTTCAAGTTTTCAAGAGTTTTATTGTTTTGCTTTCTTTTTCAGTGCCGTTACTTTTCTTCTGTTACGAGGACGTAACATGTTCGTGGGCGGGGGATATGTCGTGTCCGTGTGTTGCTATCTGTATTGTATTCCGTCTGCTCCTACATGTATCTTTGTCAAGTGTTTGCCGTGGCGTCGATGTGTCTCGTCTATGAATAGCGTTGGGAAACATATCACTATTCATGCTTTGCTGGCTGGCTGCTCGCGCCCTTCGCTCCTTCAGCTTGCACGCTACTAGGACATAATAGCAGTATATAGCTCGATGCTTTGCTTCGAGAGGTTGTTGTTGTTGTTCTTGTTGCTTCCCGGTTGCTTGGAACTTGGTCCTAGAGTGAAGCTTTGGTCTTCTTGTGTGGTGAGGGTGAGGAATGGGTATCTGGACTCCTGGTATATTTCCGTAAAGAACCTGGAATTGTAGAATCCTGAGAGTATGTCTGGCCAACTCCCCGGTCATGACATAATCATACACGGTCTGGATCATGGAGGGCTTGATGGCTGAATCATGCCTGAGCTCCCAGCCCGAGGGCCGTAGGCCCGAGGGCTGGGAGCGAGGGCATGATTCAGCCAGCAAGCCCGACAGACCGTGTATGATTGGATTTCTTACTTGACCCATGCGCACGCACGGAACGTAGCCTACTCAAACATTGAAACAAGCCAAAGACTAGCACAGTTCGGCGAAAAGTCACTCTGCACTGTACTAGTCACAGCCAGAACACACGAAGTAACAAGAGTCAAGAAGACAAGCGACATTCCTTTCTACATGCACTTCCACTTCTTTCTTCAAAACCTGCGCCTTGTCACACTATTGGCTACATCTCGTTGCCACTTGACCACGGGCATGATTGTCAATCATACCTGAAGTGACGTCAGTGTTGCCAAGGGCAGCGGGCATGATGGCTCAATCATGCCCGCGGCGGGAAAGGTGGTGATTAGACAACTCCTTGGATACGGTCACGTGTCATGTAAGAAAACAGTATCAGACCACTGATAACCGTTTATCAGATACCAGTACATGTCACTGATAAACGCCTATCACATGTCTCAGAGGATTACCATGACAAGAGCTGGCCCGTGTGAAGCTATTAGTATTAGTATTAGTCACATTGCAACTTAACCAGACGCATGTTGCCCCGTGACTTGTGTAGTATATTCTGTGCAGAGAATGTGCTTTGATGAGCTACAAGTACACGTAGCTGTCAATGTACAAGTTAATGTACTGTAGCTGTCGGGAGGCTGCGTGTGTACCGACCTACATGCACTGTACATGCAAGGGGACAGCAGAATTCTCTAGAAGCGTGTGCCGTTTGAAGCTTCGGAGAAGACTCAGGCAGTGATCAGCGGACCGCTTGCTTCAAGATTGACCTGCTACTGATTGAATACAATGTTTGTCTTCCCCAGGCGAAAGCACTCTGTAGAACGGTTCCAGGCTCTGCAATAGAGCGCTCAATCGGCCCTGAGGGGAACAACTACAATGTGAAGTACTAACAACAAGAGGAGGAAGATAGTGTTGTAACCCCGCCAGTTTCATCCCGCTCGAGACAACGGACAACAGTAATGACCCTAGATTGGTAGAATGATTAGACTTGAGAGAGGTCTGGATGCTGGTTGATATGATCATAGGCACACAATCTCACGGTGCGGGCCAATAGCCCGGGTGAGAAGGCAGTCTTGCCTGTTCATATGGTGAAGTAAAAAGAAACAACAACTAGGCAAGGAACTACTAGTATCACGAAAGAAAAGCAGGGGAAGAGAGGAAGCGAATAAATAAGAGTCGGCTGGCAAGCACCAAGCATAGAGTGTGGAAAAATCAAGCCGACCAGCAGATGATTTCTCTTTCCAGGCCACAAAGAAAGAAACAAAACTACACACGTGCACACACACACGCACGCGCGCACATGCGAGTACATACACCCACAGACACACATACATGAGAAGGTGGAATACGCCCTTGCTAGTCTGGTGACGAAAATCACACGGGGTCGAATGAATCCAAGCAGTTAAATACTAAAATAATAGACATGCGGCATCGAAGCTGCCACGATTGCCTGGGGGGACGGAGAATATTCTGCGGAACTGCTGACGACAATATACAGTTATGTAGTTGGGAAAAACAAGTTACAATAAGTAAAAGCAAGTAAATTATCGTGTCCGTTACCGAAGGGAACTCACGACGGCCGCTACCACCCGGTAAACCCTAGCGGCAGATGCAGCACCTACAATACTGGAACAGAAACCTTAACACAATGACAGGAACAGAAACCTAAACAACGACGTGCAGGGTGTTAGGTAACCCATCAGGCTAACAAAGCAGGGGAAAGAAGAAAAGAAAGTTGCATTCATATGTTCGATATGGCTAGTACTGATACAGGAAGGCAGATAGAGTAGCGATGGGCAATGGGCAGCACAGCTAGGGCCAATGCAGGATAGTATTACTAGTGTGAGAGAGCTCGTGTGTTTTCCAGCTAACACTTCCACAGGCCCCAGGTCTTGCAACCGCGCTGGGGCTAGCACTTCCACAGCCCCCAAGTCTTGGGCCTAACACTTCCACAGCCCCCAGGTCTTGCAGGCACGGTGGGCAGTCTCGTTGTCGCGCAGCACAGCGTAGTCGATGCGAACGTGCATGTGACGTCGCCACTCTGCGTTCCGAGTCAGCGTCAGCGTGCCACGCACCACGTCACCTGTCCACAGCTGCACGCTCTCATCCAGCATACACAGGTCCTGATTCCAGTGGGTTTGTGGCGAGGTCGGACTCGTAGAGAGACGCACACAGCCATCAGCATCATCCCCGCTATCCTCGCCACAAGAGCCACCACCACCACCGTCACTGCTACCGCTAAAACTGCCACTCATCGGGCAAAATCCGACGTCGAACCAAGATGCGAATCCGTGCATGACGCCATCCTGACGTGCACGGAACTCAAATGGGGACGAGATCTCCTCAAGGTCGTCCGCGGTGGTCGTCTTCATGTTGAGCTGAACGACTTTCTTGGGCTCGGCAAGGCAGTCACCGTCTTGGAGGGTGTGATTGAAGATGGGCATGCGGTGGTACTCGGCTCGGGCCGCGTCCTGCAGAGTGGAGAAGTCGAATCCGTACAGCGAGCTCCAGAAGCCCACTCGGTCTGCCTGATCCGCTGCACTGCACGGCACCAAAGAGAGAGAGGCTTGTGACGGCCATAGAGTCCCATCTGAACATGCAGCACAAACACAGAGAGAGAGAGAGAGATAGAGAGAGAGAGAAAGAGAGAGAGAGAGAAAGAGTGCACGAGAGAGAGAGAGAGAGAGAGAGAGAGAGAGAGAGAGAGAGAGAGAGAGAGAAAAAGAGATAGATAGAGATACAGAGAGAGAGAGAGAGAGAAACAGAGATCAATGTGGAATTGTGGATAGGTATTCTTTCAGACACATGCTAACCATTTAACCAACCACCAGCCTAAATGGCGCGACACAAAAATGCAATACGTCACACCCAGTCGTCTCGGGGAATAACGTTTTTCCCCTCAAACTTATGAACAACGCTTTTCACGAACAGCCGTTGTTCACCATTTGCGCTTCCTGGAAAGTTCTCTGTTTAATAGCAGAACAAGATGAGTTTGAAAATCGTCCTGCCAGCAAGGCAACTGTTCGCACAAGCAAGATCGTACACCAGGGCGCCTCGAACAGTCCACAGAGCTTGACGGACAAGCAAGTCTTATTTCCATCAGCCATTCCACTCCCTCAGGTTTTATTGCCTAGGCATCTCTTCAGGGGCTGTCCAGAACTGTCGTTGTTTTACACGAAACGATTTTTCGCGCTCTATGGGCGGGTCGAGGAGAGTTTAGCGTTGAAAAATATCGATAGCTAAAACATCAATCCATTCTACCTGTCTTTCACCCGCTCCCCTTTGATTGGCAAATACATGCTATGGGATGTGGAATAAATAAATAAAGTCATACTATTTTTCGTTCAGGCACGGGGTCCTAGTTAAAGTTTTTCGTTCCGTAAAAAATATCGATAATAGAGAGGTTCCGCACTACGTAAAGTTGAGCAACTTTACGTTAGTGGGCAGGGAAAACCCGTGAATTCGCGAGTTTGCACTCCACTTACGGAAATTTGTCTACGGAGAGTACGTAGATAGGGCTCTGATAACGTAGCTGGTCCGTAAGTGGATTGGGGTACAAATTTATGACTCTCTCCCCAGGTCGATCCGGTCGTACACTGCCGCGTTCGGAGTTGCCAAGGGCAGCTACGTGATTTGAAAACTTCGTATGGCGGAACACAGATGCGCATGCAGTTTACGTAAGACTTTCCGTAGATCGACTATGTTTTTTACTAACGTAATTACGTTATGCGGAACCTCTCTAATGCCGGACCCCCCCCCACACACACACAATCCACGATAGCGTGTAAAACAAAACGGCGCCACGGTTTATTGAAAGTGGTATAGTTTGTGGTACGAGTGTTGAAGACCATTGGAACTTTGTAGTGTTCACCTTTCTTTTGAAATGCCATCTTTGCCTCGCTGTTACCTTTTGTTTGTCATGAGCTGTGTTGGCTTTGGCTGATATCTCTGGCTGATACCTCTGGCCGATAGTGAATGTGTAGAGAGGCTGGCAGCGCCAACCTACTCTGATAGCGCACTATCCTACATACCCTACACACACACACACACTACACATTGATTTTAGTGTTTTTTTTAGTTCACAAATCAGCCACAAAAGCCATTCCGGGTGCATGCTGCGCCCGTACATTGCATTTTGTGAGACAAAGCAATAGTGGGACATGGCAAAAATGGGTGCACAGTTTTTACTCCCTGCGCCCCCCCCCCCCCCCATTTTTCCTGGCTAGAACCCTGCTTTACATGAATTCACATTTTACGTATTTGCTCTTTCGAATTTATTATAATTTTCCTTCTCTCACCTTTCATTTTTGCCGAGTTGATCACGTATCTGCGTGCTCCACTCTGCTGCAGTCAGAGGCAGCTACTCTACATGCAGTCGAGTCGAGTCTATTGCGTATCTGCATGCGTCATTGACACCGGCTCTAAATACTTCGACTTAAATTCTACTCTGCTCTCTTCCTTCGTCTGATTAACTTGTTTTTCGCTTGCCTTAGCTATTTGTTTGCTTGTACTCTGTACCGGTTTGGTACGCCATTGCTCTAGCTGCACAATATGCTGCAGTTTACGGATTTTGTCACCCATGGACCGCCGGGCCTGCACTGTTTGATGTGCAGTGACCCCTACGGACTACGGAAGAGCTACAGTCCATTCATCGGAAACTGGCCCGCTGGCTTTTGAAAGTCGGATTTGGGCCGAATTGAGGATCAAAAACCCACTTTAAATCTCAAAAATCTGGGTTTTGGATCTGCTTCTCCATACATTTTGCCGTGGCATACCTCTCCTAATTTTGTAAAACCTGGCTGAATTTCTATTTCCCTGTTCTTGGACTTTTCTGGCCTCAAATGCGGAAAGGAGTAATTGCACGGGTCACACAATGCAGGATGTACTGTGTTGTTTTCACGATGTCTACAACTATGTGAGGGAGACACCAAAAAGTTAGAGTGCCAGTTTCCAATGAATGGACTGCAGGCACCTTTTTTTGCTTACATGTTTTCTTTTGCGTTGCTAGTTTCTCTGCTCAAGCTCGTTGCTGCGGCAGAACTCTTTCGATTTGATCGGAGCAAGAACAATACGTCTTCGTTAGCAATTTATCGAAGAAAACGTTGCGTCCGAGGCTGGAGGGCCGCAACAATCGTGTTACCTGAAGTCGGCGCATGGCTGTCCAGAAACATTGAAGCTGTAATGTAAGGTGCTCTGCAGCATCTCGCAGTCCCACGAGGCACAGGTGCTCCGGTCTTGTCGATCGGCATGTACAAGTACAAGTATATACTCACAATGTACACTCTACAGTGACAAGTCTATGGCACACTGAGTACGCCGCCGGCCATGTATTGTACAAATAAAACTCACGAAGTAGCGGACTCCACAGTGATGAGTCTACCCTGTATGCTGCAAAAGATGGAGGAAAGGTGACTGGTGTCTGTACACTGGACATGTCGAAAGTATTGGCCAAAGCATGCCATTATCTTCTCCTGCAGGATCTGTTTGACATTGGCATATGTGGATCGGCATCGACCTGGTTTGGCAGCTATCCGTCTGGGCAGAGCCAGCAGGTTTGCATTGGCCCCCTCAACCAGTCCGACATTATCTTGTAACTGTGGAGTACCGCAAGGGTCTGTGCACAGCAATGTGTGTCGACGCTGACGCTGTGCGAGCTCAGGAGGTTGCTGGCATACGCAGGTTGAGTTCCTCTGAACGAGACGAGCTCCTTGAAGAGGCTGGTGTTAAGCCATCCCGGCCTGCTGCCGGTTCGCTGCTGGCAATTAAGGCAGATGTGAATTTGCCCTGGAGCCAAGTAAGAAAGCTAAAGTAGTGGTTGAGGGCAAGCGGCTTACACCTGTAATCTAAGCGGACAGCAGGAGCATTTATTGCAGACAACGTGCCAAAACACACATTCTGTGAAGCACCGATGGCCACAAAGGGGTCCAGTGGTGAGATTGTCATGGCCAGGATGGTGTATTTTCTGGATCTTGTTGCCGTTGTTATGAATCATCTTGAACTGTATGATGCAGCTAAGCAGCTGACCTGGCACAATTCCAGCAACAGAGGGTTGGATTAAACTGGGTGGTTCTCTTCGCTCACACACGCTCACAACGTCCCCTCCGTTACTCAACCTATCCCCAGCACACAGTTAGCTGACGATATTGCGCCACACTTGTCACAACCTGCCGCCGCCACCGCCGTGGCAACTGATTTGTCAATGGTAGCAGTGGCTAGACTGACTGACTAGCTTGCAATAAGAGAAGATTGATCCACTTAGAGTGCTGCTCGATGAAATACAGTCGATGCACTCATGTACGCGCCGGGCGTTGCGCAGCCCTAGACCTGCGAACACAGGGCTGCGAAATAATGCAAGGCGCAAACTTGAGTGCCGCGACTGGATTTCATCGAGCAGGACTGTAATATGTGAAAGGAAGCAGGTCCTGGTACTCCGAGCACAGTAAGTTAGTTCCCTGTGTATTGTAGCACACTGGTAGAGGCGAAGAGAGTAAGTTAGTTCCTTGTGTATTGTAGCACACTGGTAGAGGCGAAGAGAGTAAGTTAGTTCCTTGTGTATTGTAGCACACTGGTAGAGGCGAAGAGAGTAAGTTAGTTCCTTGTGTATTGTAGCACACTGGTAGAGGCGAAGAGAGTAAGTTAGTTCCTTGTGTATTGTAGCACACTGGTCCTTGTGTATTGTAGCACACTGGTAGAGGCGAAGAGAGTAAGTTAGTTCCTTGTGTATTGTAGCACACTGGTAGAGGCGAAGAGAGTAAGTTAGTTCCTTGTGTATTGTAGCACACTGGTAGAGGCGAAGAGAGTAAGTTAGTTCCTTGTGTATTGTAGCACACTGGTAGAGGCGAAGATAGTAAGTTAGTTCCTTGTGTATTGTAGCACACTGGTAGAGGCGAAGAGAGGAATCAGGGGTAAGACCAGTTGTTGTAGTACCGGTAGTTGGTCGTGCCTGCGGAAAGTATTCTCAACCTGTCCGAAAGCCAGGTTTTATCAATCCATTGTCGACGCTATGCTGACATTGTCCTAGTGGTTCAGTGCCATGGAGTTGCATTATCATCAGCGGCCGCTGCCGTTTGCATGCACTGCTGTAGACAACATGTGCCAGTGCAGGTATGCCCCAACATTTGAGAGAAAAACAGAGAGAGAGTGAGAGACAGAGAGAGAGAGAGAGAAATAGATAGATAGAGAGAGAGAGAAAGAGAGAGAGAGAGAGAGAGAGAGAGAGAGAGAGAGAGACACACACACACACACGCACATACACACACATGCACACACACATACACAGCAGTAAATCAACTCACCAGGTTTGAGGAACAGGTCTCTGGCACTGAGGACAGACTCCAGCATGAACTCGAACAACAGGAACGTCCCCATCCACTCGGACAGAATCAGATCAACCTGTTCTGGTATATCAATCTCCTCCACCTTCAGGACATAAACACACACACACACGCGCACGCACACACACACACACACACACACACACGTCACATATGCCTTTAAAATCATGCCAGAACACAAACAGCTGAGACGGGGGTGGACAAAGATGGAGCAAGACACCAGGAATGACTTGCATCACTTCCTTCCTGTCCCTTTTCAGCTGTGATGGTGTGACCCATGTCAGGCTGTATGGTGGCACTTGTTCTCACTACCACACGTCCATGTTAATAAGCTGACACGTTTGCCAAGAGATGGTGCTATCAACACAGTCATGGCACAACCAGGCATGATTGCTATGCATCCATGCAACGACTTAATGAACGACTCTCTTGGACAAATATGTGACATCATTGCCTTGTTAGTATTAGAGCCAACTGATTCTCCTGAAACCAAAGCAGTCAAACATATATATCGCATATTGACTGTTCATAATTATATTCCTGACGACTCCTTTCTCCTTTTTAGAGAAGATGATGAATAGGTTATAGATCACGTGGCCTTGGAAAAAAAAGACCTCAGAAAAGACATCGGGGGAAAAAAAGACCTCGGGGACCTTGGCCTCCTCCTTTACTCGGTCTATATAGCATGTATAAACCTAATCGGTCAATAATCTATGCCTGTCTCAGCCTCACGCAATGTGATGGCATACTATAATTTCACAAATTTTCGGTGTACTTTTACTTTCGGTGCGTCTGTTTCATACCTAAATCTTCAATACACCGAACAAACAATGATACACATAATCCAATAGGGAGCTGTTTCTCTGTACACCTAACCGGGCCTTTTGCCCCCATAGCGAAAATATTGAGCACCTAAAATTTCTGAAATTCGAGTATTCTACAGAGACACACGGAATGATACGCACCAGCACATGCCATTGTCCAATGCCAAAGACTGTGCACATGTCTACTCATCGACATACACAGTACATGTAGCGCTATGACACAAATATTTGGGTGTTGGGAGACATCAGCACAGGCAGATAAAGCAGAGAGGCAGGCCAGCCGTGTATTTTCATACTCCATCTACTGTGCAGTCCACTTTGCGTATAACGACACTCGGCGGGGCATCAGAAACGTGTCCTTATTCGCGAAGTGTCGTTATACCCGAAGTCTCATTATATGCATACAGCTAGAATGGACTTTGCTCTGGGCATGGAAATTCTGTCGTTATTCGCGAAGTGTCGTTATATCCGCAGTCGTTATTAGCGAAGTTGACTGTACTGCAATGATTATAACAACAGTACAGTGTAGATCAAGAAGTCCAAAGTACTCTACCCGCTCTGCACTGCACTACACTGATGCATGATGCCAGGCTGTCTCTACTTAGTCTTTGATTGAAATCAAACTACAGTGCGGGCAACTGAAATCCGACCCCCGGGCGGTGCTTTCACTTGCTAGCTGCCTCTATTTCGTAGTTTTACTATCCCACGCCGCGTCTTTGCGATGTGAGCGCATCGCTCATGGGGTAGGATTTCAGTTGCTAGCACTGTAGCACACATTTTATACCGTAATATCTCTACTCCAAGCCCAGTCTCTATTATAAGCGCACTCCAAGAGAGCTTCGAAGATATAGAAACCCAGTCTCCAATATAATCAATAATATAAGCGCACAGGCCTTATAACGGAGAGCTATAATTATACGGATCATGTCCATGCATGTTTGACGTCACACAGCACCGCATACACACATTGTGGCACACATACGCACAAGTCCGTGATCCCCGTGATTAAAAAAAAGTACAGGCTCGGCATACCAGGAAGTACAAGACTCCGGTTCATGGCACCTGGTGGGAAACTCTGTGCTACTACTGGTATAACAACACATATTAACCAGTGTACATGTACAGTCGACTCTACCAAACGGATTAAAAATTATAAGCCCAGTCTCCAGTAGAAGCCCTGTCTCTAATACAAGCCCAGGGTCCGGGACTGGTTGGAAATATATAAGCCCGGGGCTTATAATGGAGATAATACGGTAAATTATTACATGATATTCGATAAGAAAGGGTTTGCTCCCCACACCGGAGCTCGCGCTATTCCGCCGATATTCGGTAGCCGCAATTAGGGGTGAAACGGTTCCATGTTTTTCATGTTCGGGTACCCGAATGCCAGCATAGTTTCCCACGGTTCGGGTATCGGTTCCATGCACTCTTTTCTCCAGACCGACCAAATGCGTCCGCGCGTGGGTGCGTGACACTTATTTTCAAGTTGGAAACCATTTTTACGAGCAAGAACGAGACATCGGAGAGTCCAAGTGCGAAGGAGGTACGCTCGTAATGACCAGGTTCGATAGGAGAACCCTTTGGAAGGGCGGTGATCATAAGGTAAGACATTTAGAAATCTTGAGTAGACTTGGCTTGTGTACATGTATTTGTACGAGAACGAGATTTTTCGAGTTTCGGTTCGAAATTTGATGGAACGGGTACCCGGTTCTTTTCAGCTGGCGGTTCCAAAACCGGTTCCTTACCCGAACTGTTTCACCCCTAGCCGCAATCAATAAGACGAGCCGAACGGACATTCGTGTACTTTATTCATGCAAAGTGAAACGGTTTTATTGCACATCGTCTCCACCGTTTTACATTGCATGAACAAAGCACACAAAATTAATGTCGGTTCAGCCCGTCTGATTGATTGCGGTTATCAAATTATTGTCTCCTCGCCGTTTGTTTAAATACATAATATTCGTCAAGATAAATTTGTGAACATAGGAACATAGGAACGAGTTAAAAAAAGAAGAGAATAGCATAAGTTTTCAAGCTACCTGTTTTGTCCAACACTAACGATTATAAGCAGTAAGTGAGAGAGTGTTGGACAAAACGGATGACTTGAAAACTTATGGTCTTCTCTTTTTAAAATTTTTGTAATCCTTGGCTCTCCGTCTGAGTTGAATAGGAACGAGTGAGAAAAGAATAGTAATAGACTAATAGGTTTTTCATTTGACCCGACGAGACCACACGACGCTTGCAGACAGCACAAACAGTTTGCCAGCCACACTTCACGAAAGCCAGCAAGCAAGCAAGCGAGCAAGTCGTGAAGTGTGGCTGGTGAACTGTTCGTGCTGTCGTCTGCAAGCGTCGTGTGGCTCGTCGGGTCAAATGAAAAATCTATTACTGCTATTTGATGGATTTATTGAAGATGGCAACACAGAATTGAGAAAAGAATTCCCAAGAATATCATGTACACTTGCAAGTACAGTCAGACATCGCTTAACCGCACACATCCGTTTTCAACAAAAAATATCCCGATAGGCGAGGAGACCGGATAATCGAACAGACAAACTGTATGTATGCATGACATATGCTGTAAATCGGTAACCAACGATTCTCCGGACGGCGAGGGATCCGGATAACAGAGGACCGGATAGGCGAGGGTTGACTGTACCAGTATTTTTTTTTTTATCAAGCCGCATCCTTCTTACCTTTCCTCTGATGACTGTGATACGATCCGCCAGGCCATTGGCTTCCACTAATTTCTGTACCTGGGTTGTGAGGGGACTCGCATCGACTGCGTAAACCTTTGCAGCACCGCCATCTCTTGCACACATCATACTGAGAATTCCCGTGCCGCAGCCAACATCCAGCACAACTTTGCCCTCGATGTCCGCTCTGCACTGCTTGATGGCGTTCTGATACGCCAGTGTGCGTGGCTTGTCTCCCAGCATTTCTTGGTGGATCTTCAGCGTGGCGTACTGGTCAAAATATTCGTCGTTCTGCCAGGAGGCTTCCTCCGCGCCGCGCAAGTCATCCTCAGTGCCGAGGAATGATGATGGAACGTAGCCAGACTCGCCATCCACTTCTACCCACCACCATCCCTTGCCCATGGAGGTGTTCAAGACACGCACGGCATCGCCGAGCTTCAAACTCAGGCGATTTTCATGGTCCTTTTCGCCGTCTTCGTTCGCATCGTAAGGTGATTTTGCATACACCAGCGGTTGTCCATCCACATCGTATTCGATGTCAGTTGTGGCCAAGGCCTCGATCACATCTTTTCGAGCGTCTTCCTCCGGTATGGAGGTGACGGGAGAAGAAGAGGAGGACGTCCCTTCGTCCATGCAAGCACGACTCACACTCAGGCTTTTGCCAGTTTTGGAGGACTTCTTTGAGCATTCTCTGTCGACACTCCTTCGCCGTTTGATTCAAACGTGGTTCAATGAACACCCGTACCCTTGAGACAGCGCCTCGGCCCAAAACAAGTGCGTGCTGTGCATGCTTCGCTCGAAGCGAACGCTGTTGCGCAAGCTGCGCTTCGCCCGCGCTGCATGCAGCGCCAGTTTACGAATCTTTACCCGCTTGCAGGTGCGCTACAACTAGTACAAGACAACACTCAACAGGTAGTACATGTACAAGCCAATGTGTAGTAAAATACCGGTGTTTTACTACTCCTTGGCCGGCCATGCACGGCGGGTCGGCGCCTCGGCGGCCAGCAGCAAGCACTGCAACCCCATGCAATGCGCATACGTAAGTCGTTAGGACGTTACCAGCTGGTTACGTAAGTCGTTGACGTGAGACGTCACGCCACCCAAACACAAAGGTTGTTTTTGTTTTTGGATTTGATTTGCATTCAAAAAATGTAGCTTGTGTTTCATGCATGATGATGACTTGTTAGAATTTCCTTTCAAAGAATTTTGTCCTGACACGTCTTTTCTCATTCCACTACTCTCCTGCTTGCCCGTCCTTTTATGCTAGTCTAATTTTCTTGCTGTTGGCGTCGGGAAGGTTGTTTGTGCACTTGTGCTTGATGCTTGCAGCCAACGCTTAGTTTTCATCCCGGTGTTTCATTCTGGGCAATCACAATCATATTTTTGGAGAAATTTTGAAATGGAAGAAGCTTCTGTCCCTAGCCCTTCGGCTGAAGATCGTAAAGAACCTTTGACGTTCGCCCAATGGCACGCTGAGCAGGAAAGGCAGTTGTCCTCGCAGCGATGCTTCTACTTCTACACGATGTACTGCTATTACTATGCTTTGTATGCCAACTACCCTTGGCCAACGAGTAGACAGTATGTGGCCCCAGCAGCGGCAACTGCTGCTGCTGGCGCTAGTACAAACAGTAGCTCACTCAGCGCCGAGCAGGAGTTGGCCAATCACATCGCACAGCACATATCTGCGGCGAATCGAGCAGCTCCCGTGGCCGATGGTGCTGGCGCTGCGGAAGCCCCGCGGATAGAAGTTCGTGTCCAGTCGCAAGGTGTGTACCTTTCATGTCAGAATTGATTGTTTGACGATTTTGAGAAGAAAAAAAGCACTGCAGTCTATAAACTAAAGTCTCATTCACCCAGCTGTAGAACTTCTCAACCTTCGAAATCGTCTCTTTACTGCGAATAAGTAACTTTACAGTCCAAAAATAGAATTCCAAAAATGGAATGCAGTCACAAATTTTGCAGTGAGGGTACCTTTAAAGCTTTATGGAGACGGCAAAGTTCTAAATGTGCAAATGGCTGCATTGGGGATAACAGGCAATTCGAAAACAGCCTAATCACTTTGAGAGAGACTTGAAGGGACTGGATGTGCTCACCTGTATTGGGAATTGTTCTTATCCACGCCTGACAGCTATCATCAGTGTGCTTATCAACATGATAGTGCGGTGAGAGATCAGTAGAGAATGGTTTCACACAGCTATCACATGACCATACAGGACAGCCATGTTGGTTCCGATTCCACTCAAACCATTGCATCTATAGGTCACATGATGCTGGCCATGTTGGTTCCGACTCCGCTCAACCCATTGCATCTATGGGTCATGTGATGTTGGCCATGTTGCTTCCATTGTCCACATGCCACGATCACTTTCTACACGAATGTAGTGGCACGCCAGAGGTGCAGGCCTAAAATCCGTATCTTGTAGCCAAGTTGTGGTGCATCCTAGGTCAAATGGCTGGAGTACCGTGATGCAAGGTCCGTGTGCGTTAACCTGCATGCCAGTTACTGTGCGCGCGCGCGTGTGTGTGTGTGTGTCGTCATCTCCGTTTCTGCTCCTGACAATGACTCTGGCTCCTTTCGGAGTGGCGTGGCCCTTGTGGCAACCAAGCTACAGTAGTAGTAGTAGTAGTAGTGTGTGTGTGTGTGTGTGTGTGTGTGTGTGTGTGTGTGTGTGTGTCAGTTATCTGGTGCCGCTAGTCTTGATCTGTCTCATTCAGATCTTGTCCGCAACCGTTGCTATAAGAGAAAATCTGTGGGTGCACATCCAGTGCATTTGCAGATTTGCGCGCTTCTCTTGCGACGTGCGTATAGTGTACATGGTGTGTGTGTGTGTGTGTGTGTGTGTGTGTGTGTGTGCGTGTGTGTATATGTGTGCATGCGTGCGTGCGTGTATATATATATGTGTGTGTGTGTGTGTGTGTGTGTGTGTGTGTGTGTGTGTGTGTGCGCGCGTGTGTGTGTCTGTGTGTGTGTGTCTCTGTGTGTGTGTGTGGGTCTATCTGTGTGTGTCTGTGTGTGTGTCTGTGTTTGTGTGTACTAGTAACTCTGTGTGTGTCTGTGTGTGTGTCACGTGTGTATGTATGTGTGTATGTGTATGTGCAGCCGGTGTTTACGTGACGGCAGCATCGCCCAAGTCACGTTTGTTTGCTGAGCTGCTAGACTTCTTACTCATCTACCTGCTCAAGGACGTCGTGTACAGTCTACTTGGGTGAGTGGTAAAGTTACAACTCATTATTGATTTGAAATTGACTCTGCTCCATACTCGAAACACGGACTTTCTTATTATGCGAACAAGTCCTCACAACACGCAGAGTTGCTCTGTGCACCGTGAACACTCACAGGTTTTCACGGACGCCTCGTGCATGCTGAACTGGCCGGTACAATGATTGTAGAGTGAACTTTGAATTACACCTTGCTAACGTTGGATTATCAGCAGGAAGTCCACACATTTCCTTTCTAAGCGGATTCAGTCCTGGAAGAAACTTCTAATTCAGCGGTATTTTCGAATTAAGCCATGTTCGAATTATCAGGATTCCACCTGCATACGTGTGTGTATAATGTGTGTGTGTGTGTGTGTGTGTGTGTGTGTGTGTGTGTGTGTCTGCGCGTGCGTGCGTGCATGTGCGTGTGTGTGTACATGTGCGTACAGTATGGACGGGCCGGAGTTGGTGCTGGAACAGCTGGATGAGAGCCTGCGCACAAGCGACTCCGCTGCCAATGTGGTGATAGTGAGGAACTTTGACCAAGTCATCAAATACACTGCTTTCTACCGGCTCATGGTGATGGTGTATGAGGTAACGTTACACTCACGCCTTGTGAACTGGCCTTGCACACTCACTGCCTGTATGTTGATACAGTCAAACTAGACTGAGCCACCATATACCTGTATGATTGTGCATACAGTTGAACTAGAACATTCACTGTCTGTATGTAGATGCAATCAAGCCACCCCTAACACTCACTGTCTGTATGTGGGTACAGTCAAGCCACCCCTAACACTCACTGTCTGTATGTGGGTACAGTCAAGCCACCCCTAACACTCACTGTCTGTATGTGGGTACAGTCAAGCCACCCCTAACACTCACTGTCTGTATGTGGGTACAGTCAAGCCACCCCTAACACTCACTGTCTGTATGTGGGTACAGTCAAGCCACCCCTAACACTCACTGTCTGTATGTGGGTACAGTCAAGCCACCCCTAACACTCACTGTCTGTATGTGGGTACAGTCAAGCCACCCCTAACACTCACTGTCTGTATGTGGGTACAGTCAAGCCACCCCTAACACTCACTGTCTGTATGTGGGTACAGTCAAGCCACCCCTAACACTCACTACAGTCCACTCCTGATATAACGAACACCATTGTGCAGGAGAATTAGTTCTTTATAGCCAAAGTTTGTTATAACAGTAATGCACTCACACCATACAAGCAGCAAGTCATGACTGGCAAGTGACCCATGACAGTATGAGTGCACTTGGTTTACATGCGACCCTTCAAGATTTGGTTCGTTATGAACGAAAGCCGTTCCCTATAGAGGGTCAATTTTGGATGGATTCAAACAGGGACATGGACAAGGGTCCGCTATATCACGGAATTCGCTACAGTCAACTTCGCTAATAACGACTATAGATATAACGACAATTCGCGAATAACGACAGAATTTCCATGCCCGGATCAAAGTCCCATCCAACTGAAATACATATAATGAGACTTCGGGTATAAGGACACTTCGCGAATAACGACACTTTTCTGATGCCCCGTCGAGTGTCATTATACGCAAAGTTGACTGTATATGCGAGTTCGTTATAAGTGGAGTTGACTGTATATGCGAGTACATATATGCCTGCTCAACGCAACGAGGCGGAGACAGTCACTACCTGTACGGTGATACGGTGGACCTGGCCTTATCTGCGTGACCTGCGTGCTCCATGCACTCCAATCTGGCTTGGGCCTTGTCAGTTGTGAGTGTTGTTTTTCAAAGAGATCGCGATCCCAGTTTTGGCAAATCTAGCGAGATGTTAGCAGCAAAGAGAGCATGTGTGAGTGTTTGTACTCAGTCACTGGTTAAATGAATACAGTAAAACCTGTAAATGCGACCACTCTGATAAGACGGCCACCTGTCCAACAGGACCGCTACCACTAGGACCAAGGGATGTTATTTCCAGTCAAACGACCCTGGATAAGGAGACCACCTGTGCACAGGGACCACGCTTGTAAGGTCCCTTGAGCAGTCGGCTTATACAGGTTTCACTGTCATGTAAACGGCTACAGTGGAGTTTGTGCGACTCCTGATAAGAGCAATACGGTGCCGAAGATGTCGACTGCTGAAAACAATAAAGTTGAATAAACCCATTGAGCAATGCTGTAATTTGTGCCGTAAACACGCCACACAGCCACCTGGGCATGGTCGTGTGGGGGTGCTGAACAGTGCATTGCTGATGCCAGCGTCCTCACATGCGTGATTCATGAATTCCATATTTTGCAATGCACAATAGGCTTGTTGTTGAGCAGCATGGACACAGTATGTATGCTATGAGTTGTGTGCACTGTGCAGTCAAATTGATGGTTCCTTTGTACACCAACAAATTTAATAGAGTTCTTCTACTGTGCGAAGGCTCCAGAACTTTCAGACTGCACCGCATCACGGCCGTGTGTATATCAGGCTGTGTACGAAAAAGGAGTACAATTGTGCGTGTTGGGATGTGTGTGTGTGTGTGTGTGTGTGTGTGTGTGTGTGTGTGTCTGTCTGTCTCCGTGTGTGTGTCTCCGTGT